TGTGAGCTACAGAGTAACATCTTGAGTCAGTTATTAGCCTTGAAGAACATAAACAAATGGTTCGCTTTGAATCACAACGTTTTTATGTGGTCTGGCCCTTTCCCGAGTCCAGCTCATAGCGGGGAGCTTAGTGCACGGGACTGCCTTTTTTTTAGTTTTTATTTTTTGTGTGAGAAGCACGGAGTAGTAAAGTAATTACTGGTCCGCTTAACTTAAGCTAAATTAATGTTTTCGTCCCTTCCAAACTGGAGTTCCAACTCGCGCTATGGAATTCCTGCTAAAAATAAAAGAAAAAGGAATAAAGTCAGATTTGGCAGAACAAATCCTGCTAAAAATAAGTGAAAAAGAATTCCAACTCGCGCTATGGAGAAAAAGAAAAGAAAAGAAAAATAAAAAATTATGTCAGAGAGTAGAATCACCGGCTTATTAAATTTCTGGGATCAAAATTGTCAAATTATATAGAAAAAATAAAAAACAATCACTTTTAACCTCTCTTATTAGAGTTTACTTAGTATTTTTTTTTTTTTGAAATTATAGTCACTCCTTTCATACGGAAAAAATATATGAACAAAAGTATACATATGCAAAATCCACATTGAAAAGTAGGCAATTTATAAAGAGGTGATTGATGTCTTCAGAATATTTCAGATGCAATTAACATATGCTCGAGTTGAATCATGTATGCCTCTCTTTTTCTGATTTTCCTCAGTCATACTGCCCTTATTAGCACCTACTATACTGAGATTTCTTCTGAAACTGACTCTACCTTGTGCTGTTTTGAGATCAACGTTTGACAGTTTCTGTTTAAATATCCGTTTAGGAACTTCTATCGACTCCACTCCTACCCTCTCCTTCCACAATTTACACTTTGTACAAATGTGTCCCCCACCCCCCACCCCTTTTTTTTTTTCCTTTTTCCTTTAAAGGTAAATATTTGTACAAATGGCACCCTTAGACAATTAAAAACCTAAGTAATCTTAATTTAAAAGGTAACTGCTTGAGGAATTGTGAATTCATTTCTTCACATGATCTTTTCTGGACTTCAAGTTATTGGTCTAAGTTGTGTGCACCCATGTCGACATGACACCGACACTAGTATGAGTGTGGGATACTTACCGGATCTGGTCAATGACGTTGGATACTTTGACCATAAACTATGGGGAAATTAGAGATAAGATTTGGTATTTAGATTTCTTAAGACAAAAACTAATGTACGTTTCTAGATGGCTACCTATAATTTGAGAATAAAAGATTGAGTTACTACATTGTACAAGTTATATGTTAGTTTTTCACATAATGTCTCATAATTTAGGCATATTTTTATAGCTATGTTTTAAAATAGCCAAGTCACCGCACCCGTATCCCTCTACCTGGATCAGAATCTTAGATTTTAGATCATGAAGGATATATCTGATCTTTAGATCCGCACCCGTATCGGATACCCGCACATAAGTCCGAGCAACTTAGCTATTGGTTATTGGTGACATGTGCACTAAAATTTTATACAGGTTAATATCTTCATAAAAAAGAAAAAAATTACGCTTGATAATAATGTGTGGCATCTGTGAGTTTTATTTCCTGTTGTTTGGCTTTGATGGAACTGTATCTGAGTTTTATATGTAAGACCTGCCATTTATGTTTGATTGTCAATTTGTTTAGTCAACTAAACAATATATATTTGATTGTCAAATTTCCTCTCTAGATTCAGCTTCAACATTTGAGGCTGTTTTGGACATGGTGACAGATAGGTAGTGTGACATTCTAACCCTCAACTCTCAATCCCCTCAAAACCCTTTTGGATGAACATTTAATATATTTGCCCTTGCTTTCATATTAAGAACCTCAATTCTGGTTTCTTATTTATGTGGGCCAGTATGATTTTTCAGGGTTAGCACTGCCTATCTGCAGGTGATTCTTTCGCAGGTTTATAGGTAGTTTCATTAACACCTATTTGCATTAGCTTTTGGATTGTTAAAGGTTCTGGCATATTTAAGTTATTAGGGACAAGGTAGGAGTGACATATGTGGAGGATAAGTTGCGAAAATCGATGCTGAGATGGTTCAGACATGTGAAGAGGAGAGACATAGATGCTCCGGTAAGGAGGTATGAGAGGTTGTCCATGGCGGGTCTGAGGAAGCGAAGGGGTATGCCTAAGATGTATTGGGGAGAGGTAATTAGGCATGACAATCATTGCTTCAGCTTGCCGAGGATATGACCCACGATAAGAAGGTGTGGAGGTCGATAATTAGGGTTGTAGGTTGACAGATAGTAGTGTGTTCCTCTTCCTCCTAGGTCGACCTGTAGTACTAGGACTATTGTTGTAATTTCCTATTTATGGTTCTTTATTATGCATGTTGTGGCATTCACGCCCTGTTACCATGTTACATTATTGCTAATATTCTTTGCTATTTAGTTTCTTTATTTTCACTTTTCCTTGAGTCGAGGATCTATCGAAAACAACCTCTCTATCTCTATAAGGTATGGGTAAGGTCTGTGTACACACTATCCTCCCCATACCTCAAAACTGGGTTTTTGTTGGTGTTGGTGTTGCCTTATGCTTCCGGGCCTGGTCTAGTTTCTTGTCATTGCTTGCTCTAGATATTTCCAGCCATTGGTTGCAAATGTATAGGTAATTAACTCTCCACTGAAACATATATTCTTTAAGCAAGGATTGATTTTGTATTGTCTTTTCTGTTATCTTGTGTTTTAGACTTCTGATTGATCAGTGCGTTCTCAGTTGAATAATTTTTTTAAAATATTATTGCTATTGGAACAACAATTGTACCTAGTTGTTTTGGATTAGTTCTTAGCTTTCATGCTTATCCTTAGATTAGATATATATTTAGAGTTATCCTTTTAGTTCATACTTATCATTCAGTTAGTTAGCTTTAGATAGTGTTTTGATCTGAATAAGTCTCCTAATTCAAGGAGTACTCTTAGGAAGACTTGTATTTAAACTGAGCTTGGCATTCAATACACATACAGTTTTCCATCATATTCTTGAGTGTTCATATGGTATCTGAGCCTATACAACTTTAACGAGCACGATCCAATTTTTTTTCTTCTTTCCAATGACGAAAGATGGAAACACTACCAGAATTGTCAATGCCGACAACACTACCGGCACCACAACCATCATCCAATTCAACCATGTTTCCCAACTACCTATCAAACTTAGTGGCAGTCACAATTTTTCCACTGGGAAAGCACAGTTCTCCATGCTTATGCACGACCATGATCTCTATGGTCACCTTGATGGGTCTACCCTGATTCCCACACCGACCACTATTTTTTACATCAATACAACTCCTAATTCTGCTTATACGCTTTGGTTCCGTCAGGATCAACTCATCCAAAATGCTCGTATGGCGTCTGTTGACCCTACCATTGCTTCCACAGTTGCTGCTGCCAACACATCCAAACATGTTTGAGACTCTTTGCACACTGCTTATGCAAACAAGTCCCAGACTCGGATCTTCAGCCTTCGTGACCAACTTGCACGAATCACAAAAGACAACATTCCTATTACCGAGTACCTTCAGCGTATTCGGTCCCTCTCTGATGAACTTGCCACTGCAGGTGCTTCGGTCACTAACTCTGAACTTATCGTCAAGATTCTTAGTGGACTTGGCCCTGAATTTCGTGAGATATTTGCTGCCATATGAGCACGTGACACCACCGTCACCTATGAGGAATTGTATGAAAAATTGCTCGATCACAAGCTCTTTATCTGACATGAGGATGCTAAGAAAACTCTCGGTCCTATCACAGTGGCAGTTGCTACACACAACAAACAGACCAACACTGCCCACAATCACAACAATCGCCGCCAATCCTATAACAACACCTCCCAACCATGGCGACAGAATACTCGCTCCAATTCATCCACCCAGTGGCAACCCCCATGGGAGGTGTTATTCGTTGCCAATTATGCAACAAGATTGGCCATACTACAAATGTATGTCGATCCAAGTCACATAATCATTTTGAGGCCAAAGCCAATTATATCACAGGCTTCAACACTACTGCTGACCCGTGGATAGTGGACTCGGGTGCCACCCACCATGTCACAACCGAACCTCATAACCTACAACCATATCACGGCAACGAGGATGTCTCCATAGGTGATGGTAACAAAATTCCCATCTCACATATTGGTTCTACTCAGTTAAATGCATCAAATAATGTTTTTAAGCTAACTCACACTCTATGTGCTCCAGCTATCAAACGAAATCTTATTTCTGTTTCTAAATTTTGTCCGGACAATCTAACATCTATTGAATTCTTTCCTTTTTCTTTTCTTGTGAAGGATCTGAAAATGTGAACCCCGCTGGCATGAGGCCGGACCAAAAATGGAATGTATGAGTGGCCCAAATCACATCCACAAGCTCACATATCTACAGGTTCAACTTCCCTGACCACTTGGCACCAAAGATTGGGTCACCCGCATTCTAGATTCTTGCATATGTCTTGAATAAATTTTCGTTCCCATTTGTTGAGCGAGACAAGTTTCTTTATTGTAATTCTTGTCTGTCTAATAAATCCCATCGGCATCCGTTTCACACATTAACTCTGGAAAGCTCTAAACCTCTTCAAATTATTTTCAGTGATTGTAAGCACGTGATTTTTGCCCAATATGAGAATTACTCCCAAAAAATTCAAAAATAAAATAATTTTTCTTGATGTGCAATTTTTGTGATATTTTGTGTAACTATTTGTATGTTTGTCTATGCATGTTTATTTGTTAAATTATTAAAAATACAACATATGTCGCATTTCGCATGTAGGATTTAATTATACAATTGTTAGTAACTAAGTTTGTTTTACAAAAAAAATAAAAATTACAAAAATAGGCATCGTTTGCATTTTTAGCATTTAATGTCCAAATATACGATTTTATGCTTAACTATTACTTAATTGTGCGTTAATTGTTATTTGGAGTTAATTTGTGCTTTTATAACTTAATTTAATTCTTAATAATAGTTTAAGTATTTTTTATAATTTAGTTTTAAAAAAAAATAAAAGAAGAAAAGAGAGCAAAAAATATAAAGAAAGTCGGAATTGGGCCTCTTCTTCGATTTCAAGCCACA